TTAAACATACTTCATTTTGTTGTCAGTGAGTATTTTACAAGCGTGGGTGACAGAAGCATGCAGCAGAATATAAATGTGATACAACTGCCTTTTGCAGTATGTGTGTTTCCATCAAAGTTGGATTTTTTTTCTCCTCCTCCTCTCCTTTTGATTGATTTAAACTGATGGATGGTGAAGCAGGATTTCTGAATTCACTGGTGCCTCAGCAAAGCGGTAAAAAGCAGCAGAATAAACATCTACAAAAATCCACACTGAAATCTCACCCTCCCATTTGAGCCACTGAACAGGACAGCTCTTCAAAGAGGGTCCAACCTGCCACTTCTCTAGAAACCCACAAGCTGTGACAAACCCTAAGCAGGCACTCAGGTCCACTTGGATGAGACCACGCTGGGGACACCAGGCACGAGATTCGGACACATTTCTTAGAGCATGGTATACAGCACCTGTCCTCAGAGAGGCTTAGGAAGGAGGTTCAATTCTGCACTTGTGCAGAGTTCCATTTTAAAATCAGTTCCACCTTCTGAGGCTGTAATAGTGGACTTGGGGCCATTAATACAGTCAGGCAGGCATTTGCCGTGAATTCTGCAAACCCTCTTTTGTCATCAATAACAAGAGCCATTAACTCTTAAATGTTGCTCCTCCATACAATAGCTCTTCTGAGCAAAGAACCAGCCCTCTACTTGCCAGCGCACAACAAAGAGAAAATAAAAATCAAAGGAGAGGTGCATGGTCAAGGCTATTTAAACAACTGGCTTAAATGAGCAGAGGATGTATGCTGTATGTAACCACCCTGTATTGTCACATGAAAAAGCAACACCTTTAACATAAGAAAAGCAGAAACCTTACTCCAAATGCAAAGGATGTCCAAGCCCACGAGTACCTTCAAGCCTCTATCTGGCAGATACAATTCTGTTAGCTGGCAATGAACAGCATGCCGTTACATTTATGCTGGTCCTCAGATCCCTAGAGGACACGGTAAATCAATGATTAGCACATTTGTGCACGTGGAGCTGCCTTGAAGCTAATTCTCGTTCTGGTTAAGATATGAGAATAATGCAGCATGAATCCTTCAGAAAAGTGGATCAAAACACTGTCATATACGTATAAGCCCATTCTGTCCCTCTCTCTTGCCTGCAGCCATCTCTTGCTGACTTATTATGTCCTCAGTGACTCCCGAATGATTTTCACTGTAACCCAGGAGGAGGTCAGCTGCACAAGACCCACCACGGCGCCGTCACGGCTTGTCCTGCACCCTGCACTAGCGAAAGTTTGACCCTTTTGAAACAAAACACAGAAACCCACCTGCGTAAGGAAAGTTGCCTTGTATTTCAAGAGGATGGACAGACTGTGATGCACTCGCTTATCAGAGAAGGAAGGCAGCACAACAAGGATCACCCCATGAACGACGCTCCCCTCCAACCCCCACAAATGCGTGGAATTGCCCCCATCACCCTTACAGGTGATTCAGGCAGTTGCTGACTGTAAGGAGGTCTGGCTGTTGACAACACAGACAGGCTGCTCAGAGCTGTTTGGACCATGCACAGGGTACAGGCTACCAATGGAGCAGGTTTTCCAAACAAGGAGGAAACGGGTGAACATGTTGGCCCCACATCTAACAGCCCAGCTAACGACGACTCAGCCTAAGCTACTGATTCTGCAGCCTCCCTTTTTCAGCCTTTGTTCATCCCATCCAACAGTCATCGACGGTAGCATGATTTTAACAAAAGCATGAGATTTTCCAAATCAGGACATGCATGGTGAACAACAATGCCACTCACTACTGCTTTCTCAGCTGCTGCCAAGCAAGCATTTCTGAAAAGCACCACTGAAAAGCTAAGTTTCACCCTGGATATACAAACCCAGCAAACAATGCCTAAATAGGTAAGAGAGGTTATGTAAGCAAGCTACAGCACCAATTTTGCACGTCAGCAGCAATAAACATGTTCATCGTTAGTTTTGTGTTTATGCCCCATCCAAACATCTACCTATTAAAAACCCCAAGAGCTCTGGCTGATCTTCAGAGAACGGGGTTTGCAGATCAGTGTTTGCACCCAGTCCTTTCTGTCTGTGACCAGATGAAAAGAAAAAAAAAAAGAAAAAAAAAGAAGAGAAAGAAAAATCTGAAAAGAAATAAAATATAGCCTGGAAGAGCAAGAGCACAGGGCTAAGTTTGGAGAACTCAATGTAACATCAAGCCAGGTTATCTGAAGAGCATGGATTTCCTCCACAGATGGGAAATTTAAAGCACAGAGCGTTGCAGACCCCAGTCAGAGCCACAACAGACACCACGCAGCAAGTTTCCAGAACTGCCAAGAAAGCTGACAGATCAAAACTGAACCTGGTTAATTCACATGGGAATCCAAACTGGGACAGATGGACTACTAACCAAACAAAGGCTTCAAGACTTAAACCATCATAAGCAGGGGTGCTCTCACTTCCTAAGAAGTAACCACTCTGGTCTCAAACTCCCAGAATGAGGTGGTACAGCCCATTTCAGCATCCTCATGCAAGAACTAGTAGAGATCTGACCATGTATCACACATTTGCTTGGCATAAACCAGGAGAGTGAGAATAGAAAGGTTCACAAAGCCTTCTGGCATCAACACTACAGAATTTGTCTTTGTTCTACCTTTATTTTCAGGAAACAACAATGGGGAAAAATAATCTTGAAGATAGCTCTTACTCTTGAAGAGTCGCCAACTTAAAAAGTTAGTCTTTTGCTGTAACTTCAACCAGTACAAGGAGGACAGCATTAGTGGATTTAAAAAAAAAATGTTTCTTTTAAGCACTGTAGCTGTTTTCCATTAGAGAAGCATTGCATATCTTGAGGGCCTAGTTCCGTGATGAGTGAAAATTCCACAATGAAATCCCAGTCAAAGTGATATTCACAATAGGTCCTGAACATAACTGGAAAAACATGCTTCTTCAATGCTGGTGTATCATCTGCAGAAACTATTAAGAAGACAAATGAGAGCACTAGAAAGTAGGCTAATCAGTTCGACATACTATCTGATGAAGTAACAATTATGGAAATGTTTTCCAATTTAAAAAATCCTTCAAAACTGCAAAGTGCATCTAGACTCCTGCCAGTGAACGAAGAGGCAGGAAAGACTGAACAAAGGGGAAAAAAAAAAGGAAAGTTTTTCATCATGATCAAAGCTGTCAAAGAAAATTAAGATACAATATTAAAAAAAAAAGACAGCTATGATGCAATTGCAAATTCTTCTGCTGCTACTGAACTCTCAATTCAGTCAAGATATGTCTCCAATTACAGACCCAGCAAAAGGTTCTGTAACTCAGCAGATGTGACTGCATGGCTGAGGAATTAAGATACGGTTCCCCACTAGCTTCTTCTCTCCTCTGATGTCTCATCAACCAGGAAAAAAAAAAAAAGGTCATCATGGTCTTTATTGTATGTGCTGAATCAGGTTAGTAAGCACCAAAAAACCACAGAGTTTTGCCCAGTAGTCCTACATATTCTGAGACAAGCTGACATCCACCACCAAGGAAGAAATAGCACTGGATATCATCCCTGTTGATACACGTGGGTTTAGCATGTTTTTCAGCATCACTGGTTTTCCACCCAGAGTGAGCATAAGCCAAGATTGAAGCATGCCACGTGAGAGCCAGCAATGAAAGTTGAGGAGGAGAGGAAGGAATACAAATAAATAAGGGGAGGTAGTAGGGAGCTGTTGTCATAGCTCCCAGTACTTGACAGATCCTCAGCTGATGTAAATTTTCCCTCTCCTGTGTCAAGCCTCCAAAGCAGGTTCTCCTCCTGTACAGTACACTGAAACTTACCTATGGATAAATGCAGAAAAGACTTCCCCTAAGGTCTTGCCCATCTTTATTTTGAGAAAGAGCCTCCTCCCCCTCAGATCACACCTGAGAGCAGTGAAATGACTTAAAAAAAGAGAGAGGTCCACGGTGATGTCCAAACTGGATCTTGAAATTCAAAAGCTGAGAGCAGTCACACCGAGCAGCCTCTCGTAACCCTTTCTGCAGTAACTCCTCTGGAAACCATCTTTCCCAAGTCCAAGCACAACAGCCCATTGTACAAAACTGAAAGGTTTTAAAAAAAAAAACAACCCTCCTTCCTTGTGCCCAACACAAAACAGACAGAAATCTGAGTACAGAGCCACAACCTCTGCTTTCCCTCACCATACCCATCTCATCTGCAATGGGGAGGATGTCGCCTGAAGTCCCTGCTCTGTCCCAGGCGTCTTCATGCCCACACAAAGACTACATGACCTGCAGGACCAGTACTCTTACTCCTGGCCATTTATTTCTTAAGTACTCACCCAGAGGGATCAAGACAACTATGGACCAACCTCAGATGTCAGCTCGGAAATCCCATCTCACAACCCACAAGCTTTAAATGACAGCTGATCCTTTTTTTTTTTCTTTTCTTTTTTTTTCCTTTTTGGTACCACCTAGGTTTTCTAGACATGCCAAAAAGACCCTGGGTCTCTCCAAACGTCCAAAAACCCACCATGGAGGCTGCACACGGTGACATTTTGGCATCTCTGCTCCAAAGCCTCTTTTCCCTGCGGGCAGGGTATCCATCACGCCCTGCTGCAGCACGCCGCCTTCTCCCAAACTACCCACCAACTCCGCGGAGCCCGGAGGAGAAGACCACCACCATCATCACCACCGGGGAGCAGTCACCCCAGCACGGTGTCCGCCTTCACCCACACCCGCCTCCCCGGGGGAATCCCGCAGACGGCCCCACAGGGTGGGACGGTGCCGCAGGCTGCGGGGAGGGAGGGGGAGGATGAAGGGGGGGGTGTCTGCTCCTCCGGGGACCCCCACCCCAGCCAGATGCCAGAGCGGAGGCGGCGGTGAGGGACCCCCCCTCCACACCCCGCTCCGTCTTCTCGCCTGGACGGGGCGGTTCCGCCGTCCCTCTGCGGGGCGAGGGGCCGCCCGGCACCTTCTCCCGGGACCGGAGACCCCCCCCGTCCCCCCCAATCCCCGCAAAGGAACCGCGGTCACCGCACCTCCGAGCCCCGGCGGGCCACCCCTTCTCCTCCTCCTCCGCTCGCCGTGCGGCCACCGGCGACCCCGCACGGCCCGCGGGGCACCCCCGGTGCAGCAGACAGACCCGCACGCTGCCGCATCCCGGCCGGCGGGACGAGGGGCGGGGGGTCCGGCGGTGGGGGG